TTAGCTGGATCATCAGGAACACACAGCGTTTGCATATGCATGACTCACCAGAATGTTAAACTAATGTTAGATGCTATAAATCTTAAATTTTTGAGCAGGGATTCTGAATTTCAATTATGTGACTACAAAGATTGTTTTAAATTCATTCAGTGTAAGAAACCTACAACTGATTTTCATTAGCTACAGTGTAACAAATGTCCTAATACTAAGAAGCTTTCCGACTTCCTTTTGGAATTATTGAAAAAAAATAAAATCGAACAAGTTATATTCAGCACTTGGCAATCTACTGATCGCTGTACCCTCAATAAAGAATGTCTTCCCTCAGATGAATTTATAGAAGTATTGTGTGATCGCATCAAAGTTCTCATTACGCATAGTTTTATATCAAATGAACAAACAAAATTTATATCTGATAAAAGAGAAAATTTAAAAGAAAATGAAATATTGCTACACTGTGATTTTGCGGAAAATTATGCATACGTGGCTCAGGATGCCGCTCAAGCTTTCCATTATAACAATGACCAATGTTCGGTTTTTACTGTTGCATTTTACTATCGCTCCAATACCGAATTAAAACATCACAACATGATTTTATTATCAGATTGCACAACCCATGATGCAACAGCAGTTTATTTAATGCAGCAGAAAGTGATACCGATAATTAAAATGTTGTGTCCAAAAAGTACAAAAATTTATTATGCAGGGTGTCTCAGACCACCCGTCCACCCCCCAAAGTGTGCCGAAAAAGTTTTTTTTTTCAAAAATTGATAACGCAATTATATATAAATCGAGTACGCTCTATCGATTGGACGTAAAATCAACTTCCGGTTCCAACCGGAAATGGCCTATTCAGACCGGAAGTGCATGAAAATCCATTTTTTTAAATGGAACATGCACACTTTTTTTCAGATTCAGATTCTACGGTAAAAAATATGAAAATTTCATAAGAAGAATTTTTTGAAAAAAGTTGATATTTGACCTCTAATTGACGTCTGAAGTCTGTAATCCACCAGTTTGTACTCAAGCTGCGAATATGCACGTTTTAACAATGGAATAGGATAATGTGGCTCCTCTAAAACGTTTTCGGGGTCGCTGAGTCCGAATCCAAAGTGAGTTTGATCTTATCAGGTCATTTTGAGGTCAATTCAAGGTCATTTAGAGGTAAAACAAAAAAAATATTAGATTTATAAAGAATGAAGTACTTTTAAAATTTTAGCCTTAATATTACAAAAATATGAATCTCGTCGTTTTTTCATTTATTCTTGTTATTATTAATCTATGTATTTACATAGCGTACTTTTATGAAATTAGGGGAAATGAAATTCCAAAACAAATTAGTTTAGCGAGATAAAAATCTTTATTCTCAAAACATAAGAGATTTCGTTACAGTAGCAACATTTGTTTATAATAACATAAATAATAATAATTTGTTTTAATTTAATAAATTACGTAGGCTTTAAAAAATCAGCATACTTTATCGAATGTTATGTATTTCAAACTCTGCGATCGCGTTATACAAGATAGATCTTAAAAAGCAGCTTTGAAAATTTTCGCCAACGACTTGTGTTTTGCAACTAGTCAATCCGCCAAAGAGATGAGTTTCACAGATCTGTTCTATTTTCGGATGAATGTACCTTCAAGAGTGATGCAGAAGTTAATACGTGGAATTGTCGTTATTGGTGACCACAAAATCCCCGGAAAACCTCCCGCTGCAGTTACGGCGTGACATGTGGTTTCAGCAAGATGCATGTCCTGCACATACGGCACATATCTGCCGAAATAGTTTGAATCGTATGTTCCCCAATAGGTGGATTGGAAGGTTTGGTCTTGTCAATTATCCACCTCGATCCCCAGATCTGACTATTCTGGATTACTATTTGTGGGGAAGAGGAAAGGACATAGTTTACCAAGAACGTCCGACAACGAGAGCCAATATGGTTGGCAGAATCACGGATGCAATTCGGTCGCTGCAGGCAGCAGAAATAAGAAGAGCTGTTGATAATTTCCAAAGAAGAGGTCAAGCATGTATTTTTCAAGGCGGAGCGCATTTTGAACATTAAAGTTATAAATCTTATTAATTATTGTCAAATCTTCACCGTCTATTTTCGCACAGTTATTTCAGCGTTATTCATAAAAAAATTTTATTTACAGAACAATAGAAGACAAAATCTAATTATGTTATAAAAATTTTCACTATGTTAGATTCTAATAAAACAAATTATCATTATTTATGTTATTCGAAAACCTCTTAGAGGAGCCACATTATCCTATTCCATTGTTCAAACGTGCATATTCGCAGCTTGAGTACGAACTGGTGGATTACAGACTTCAGACGTCAATTAGAGGTCAAATATCAACTTTTTTCAAAAAATTCTTCTTACGAAATTCTCGTATTTTTTACCGTAGAATCTGAATCTGAAAAAAAAGTGTGCATGTTCCATTTAAAAAAATGGATTTTCATGCACTTCCGGTCTGAATAGGCCATTTCCGGTTGGAACCGGAAGTTGATTTTACGTCCAATCGATAGAGCGTACTCGATTTATATATAATTGTGTTATCAATTTTTGAAAAAAAAAAACTTTTTCGGCACACTTTGGGGGGTGGACGGGTGGTCTGAGACACCCTGTATATATGTATGTATATATATATATATATATCAGAAACATAAAAAAACCATATTTCCAAAATTTTCAATTAACTTCAAAAAAGATTTTTTTATCAAAATAAAATATAACACTAAAATATAAAATAGTAGATTAAAAGAGAAAAAAAGTACACAAACATTTTTTAAAAATAATAGGCACTTTATAAAAAAAAAAGAACAAATTTACGCAAAATAAGCATGAATACGCTTCGTAATACTTTGATGACATATTAGACAATCATGAAATCTTGATGCACATTCCATGAATACAGCGATATGACCACAAGTTAAAAAGAGTACAGCAATCCTAGCATCCAACATATCTTACATCTAGTAATTTCAAGTTAACGCAAAATATTGACTATCTCGCTGCGACTATTCAACCCTTTCGCTAATTTTATTCATTTTTTCATTCTGTTTGTCAATACTTTTCTTATGATCGCGTAAAAGTTCTTCATAAACAGATACCATCCTAATGGCTGCATTCAATTCGTTTTCTGATGCACATTTCTCCTTCAAATGTAAGTTAGAAAAAAATTTTGTAATAAGACTCGTCATCGATGACAACGCAGACTCGTCTGTACATGCATGTGGGTTAGCAGTAGGTACGCAGACCGTTGCACGCGCTGGCTCTTTCCACGTCGGTACTGCTCAATACTCGAGCTTATACCGTTCACAATCATCTCTACTTCTTCGAGGATGTATTGGTACGGGGCTCGATCCGATCGGCACATTGCCGCAACTTCTCTTGCGAATCAAAAGGCAGCAGCCAGCCCATCACTGATGTTCCGTCACAGGGTCATCACCTTCTTCCCAACAACAGATTTCCTATATATTATAGATTATAGATTTCCTATAGATTATAGATTATCTATAGTCAATCTTGTTGACGCTCATTGTAGAATCCTCGTATCACCTTTTTCTTTCTTTCTTTCACACTTTACACGCTACGTAAAACACGCTCGATGCGAATACTACTGCTAATGAGATTCAGATTACTTTTATAGCGAACGGCTGAGATTTTCGCCTCCATTAAAAAAAATCCATACATGCCATACATTCCATACATTCCATAAATTTCATTAAAAAATTGCAACCCTTGCATATATTACAGAAAAAAGTCGATATTTTTAACATTTAAAAAAAATATATTTTCAAAATTTACCTAAAAATTATCATTTTGATTCAATTAAATAATTGAAAACAAATTAAAAAAAAATTTTGTTATTACGGAGAATCAAACCTTTGCTCCGAACATCCGCATGTCAACGCTCTACCGATTGACTTATGACAACTCTTAGCGGTGGAGTACGTGCAGACTATATTACTTATTGATTTAGCATAAGAAAAAAATTATTATCAATTGTCTTTAATACAATGAATATAATTTAAGAGATACCTATCTTATATTTACCTGCTGCTTCAGCTGAAAAGAAATATAAAATGGATAAATACAAAAGAGCAAGATTACAGTTTATTAATAATTATCTTTTCTTTGTTCGTACGTTATCATATATATATACTCGTATATATGCTCCTAAAAGTGTTGTTTTATAATTAATATATTAGTTTCATCAAATTTAAGAATAATTTTTAATACGAAGGAGTTTTAAACGTGGACAAGAAGAAGTGGCCCTGAAATGGGTCGATTACTGCTTGACAGTGATAAGAAAAAAAGCGCACGCATGATTGCAGAGATAAAAATTATTATTATTATCATCTTTAATATAACTTAAAAGATACTTACCGTATATTTATCTGCTGCTTCCGCCGAAAAAAAAAATAATAGGGTTGAATAAAAACAAACTCAAGGTTACAGTTTGTCATATATATATTATCATATATATTATCGTTTTTTGTTTGTTCATACTTTTAGCACTGAAAAGTGCTGTTTTTTCATTATAAATTTATTATAAAATTTATTATAAAGTTATATATAATAATCGATGATATCAAGAAATGAGCCGATGCAGCTTGCCACTGTTAACGGCTCGTTATCGCCTGCGGGTCGTCCGTTGCCATTGACCGATTTAAATGCCTTGCATGTTGAGTGAAAAAAGGCGCAAGTACGATCGCGATCACGTATTAATACACTTTATCGTCTCTGCTCCGCACTAATCACTATTATTTCTCTAGTTATTCCCACCACTAAGTTTCAAATACTCAACCATTACCGACGTTTCCATGCTTCCGATCATCATCGACGGTGCACGCGTAAGTTATATATATATATACATATATATGTATATTAATTTTTAATATATATTATACACAATATAACAATATGTATAAAATTATATATTTAATATATAATTTTTAATGTACTTTTATATATAAATAATTTTTTCCTATATAGTTTTTTTACAGATCTGATGATGACGTGGAGATCGTGTGCCAACTTATCGTCACGTGTCCACTACCACCACCGTTACGCGTGACACACATTGACCTGGTAACGCCTCCAGCACCCGTCATAGACCTTGCGACGCCTCAACCGCTTTTGGTGCATTTCGTTTCACCAGAGGAGCAAGAGCAACGAGGAAAGGTATGAATTTTTTTTCCAATACAAATAATACTTCTTTTTTCTAATTAGGGGTAGTTTATTAGAAATTTCTTTTGTTTCTTCGGGCAGGTCGATGATCACGACGACGACACCATGCTTGATTGCGAGGGCTGAGCCTGCGTATACTGCGCCGCTAGTCGTTGTAGTCGGCGACCGCAGTGGGTGGAATCTTCACCACAGCGCGGGAGCAGGTAGTACGTAGATCGGACCAGACCCGTCAGACATGTCGTGCGTCGATTATTTCAATCGAGGTCGCCAATTCCTCACAATAGCCCCGTAGGATTATCCACATCTGGGAACATCTCAGATATATTGTGCAATCTCGTTATCGCGGGGAAAGAAAGACTGTCGCTCATGAATGACCCAGCTGACGGCGCACCACGCTATAAAATAGGAAAATTTTTCCCCGCGGATAATGACGACCACAACGATGACGATACGATGACGATGACATAGGGAATCAGTATAATGAGCTGATACCCCTCTGAGCTGAGGCCTCTTTTGTTTACCTACTCGTACCCTTAAGTACTTTGTTGACAAATCATACACGATTTTAATAATTGTTTAATTCGTTTATCCAGTGTTGGTATGAAAAATTTTTCTTGTACAATTTTATATATTTTAAATGAGCCAATATGACCGTATGTATTATGCTCATCCGTAATAAAACTAGCAAACATACTTTCTGGAATCACTTTTTTATTCATTGAATTCACTACTTTGTATAAAATGTCGATTTTCATTTTATAATTTCTAACAACTGTTTCTTCGTTATTTAGTATTCTATCTTTTATTACAAGCGTTTATTATGATATCAGTTTCTCTATTTATATCATCCGCTTTTGCATGTATTTGCCTACGGAGAAAATCCGCGCTAGAGTTTTGTTTACCTTTTAAATGCTCAAGCGATATGTTATAATCTTGCATCGATGAACTCCATCACGTAATTCTTGTGTTCACGTAATTGAACCTACTGCAATTAAAAAACGGAACGGCTTTATAATCAGTGCGAACTATAATTTTCTTCGACCTCCTGTAAATATGATTGCGATTTATACAATTACCATACTAATGTAATTAATTGTTTTGATGTAGTGAAGTAATTGATTTCATTAACTTTCAACGTACGACTGACAAAACAAACTGTTTGTTCTTTATTATTGTCGTTTAATTGTGACAATACCGCTGCAGCCGCATAATTGCTCGCATCGGTTGCCAGTATAAATGACAAAATTTCGACTTTTTTAAATTAAAAGTAATATTATATTTTTTACGTATTTAAGTAACAATCTTAAGTGATGTAAATACTTATCAAATGAATCTGATCTAAAGTGAACGTCATCTCCAAACGTCAATAAAAATTCTTGTAAATTTGAAGTTATTTTATTAAATACTCTAATTAAATTGTCAGAACTTGTCTTTATGTTAAAAGCTGAAACATTGAATTCGAACACTATTCAATATCATGAAAGCTGTATATTTCTATTTTCTAGTAACTACTCGTTAGATCTAAACTTGACATAAATGGTTTTGTCGTGCATTGGAGTAATATCTCATCGATTGATGGAGGACATTCATGTCATCTTCCAATTTTTTATTTGACTTACACGCATTTAAGCATAAACGAATTTCACCGTTGTTTTTCGGTACAACTGTCATCGGATTTATATAATTACTTCTCAATGATCTAGTTATACCTAATTTTAACATTTTGCTGATTTTAATTTCAACTTTATCCCTATAATGTATAAGAACTGCATATGGTTTTGAGAAAAATAGATCATCGTCTTTTAAAGGAATCTCATATACATATGTATTAATCAGTCCCGGCTTATTTGCAAAAATATTTCTATATCTTAATATCAATTGTTTCACTTTTTCAACTTGATCAAAGCTTAGCTTATTACATGATTCAAGTTTGTGTTTAATCTCTTCATTTGAAAGTCATCTTCGCTTATATCATTATTAAATATATATATTCAATAATTTGTGGTCATTTTCGCCATTATTGTATTCTATTATATTCAAACAAACATAATTTTTCATATTGTTACAATGATTATATGACAATTTTTGAACTTGATTATTTATTGATATTGTTAATGACTTTTGCTGGGTATGAATAATCATGTTCAATTTTTGTTGCAAATCAATTCCAATAATGCAAGGTTTTATTAATTTTTGAACAACTATATGTATTAAGTTCGCTTTTATATTACCTAATCGCGTCGGTATCAGTACTTCCAGTTTTAACCGAATCAATTTATTTCCAGTGGCTAATTTCATAAATTTTCCAAACAACGGCAATGTTGTACAATTTCAAAAACATTCTAAATTATCATAATAGAATTTTTTCGACATAGCTGTTTTTTCGCTACCTATATCAATTAATGCATCAACGGTCGTGTTATTATTCAGGCATATGCTAATTTCCGGGCATTGTGTTTGTTGACACTGTTCGTTCTCTGGGTCAATATGGGTCAATTCTGAACTAAGTCTGCGCTTGAATCTATGATTGCAGCCGATAATAATTTGATCTTGTTTAGAAACAGGCGCTTAGTTCTATTCCGCATAAATGTATTTGGCACGCTCTCCGAGTTTAGAGATAGAATTACATTTAGTTTTGACTCTACCGATGGATCAAGATCAATATTCAAAATATCAATCGCGTTGTGAGCTTGTTTTCTTAGCTTCTTACTAACGGAAGAAATTAATCGTTCTCTATTTTGTTTTTGCTCCTTACTCTTATATTAAATTTTCACAGCGTTTACGGATTTTAGCTCCGGTTTCTTACTTTTCTCTACTAAGATTGAGTCCGGTTTTTGATATTTATTTTCATGCAATTGTGCTGCATTGTTTTTCTCGAACATCTCTTTTTTCTGTTTTCGCTCTAAAAATTTTTTATCATCGTCATAATCTAACAAAATTTGAAATAGCGAATTTTTATCCTTTACTCTTTGGCTACAAAAAGCGTAACGAATTCCTTTTTCGAAATGCACACACAATTTTTTAGTTAATTCTTATTCAGAAATTAATAATTCAAGTTCGTTCGTGTAACCGAGATTTGTTACGTAAATAATTCTGCTCAATTAACCGCTTAAATAATATTGGCCAAAAACGCTCTTTGAATTTTGTTTTAAAGTGATTACAATCGACCATATCATCAATAATGATGTACCACCAATCATTAGCCTCACCGTTTAGTGTTTGACTAATAAATGCGAAACACTCATGTCCTTATATTATCTTTACAGATATGTACGTATCGATGTCATTTGAAAATTTTAGCGGTCTTTCCGTTTCTATAACAATAAACAGAGGAATTGGTATTTTAATTTTTGATACTACATTCACATTTCAGCTAGTGTTCAAAAGATTATTTACATTTGAATTTTCAATTATATTTCTTAAATCATGCAATTTTTCTTCAAATTCATTACTTGTTTTCGCAATCCGTGCTTGCAAATTCGATTTAGTTTGTTGAATTAACTGATATGTGTCATCCGAGTCAGCGAAAGTTTGAAATTCTTGCATAAGTTTTTCAAATTTATTCAATTAAAATTTTTCAAAATCATTCACTAACGCTTTAAATTTATTATTCCAGGTTTTCATCGTATCCGATAGCGCAACTAATTCATCTTTACGAATGTTGGACTTTAATTTTTGCGTTAATGCTTTTTCTCTGTTTCATCCGTTAATAAATCTAAAATTCTATCAACTTTTCGTTCCGAATCATTCTGAGCCTGAAATAACTGTTAATTCATGCGCGTTTGCATCGATATATTTCTCGGCATCATCCTCAAATGACATCGAGCACAATTTTTCCGACAACATGAGTGTTTTTCTCCTATTTGCCATGCTAACGGATATTTAAACAAAGTTATAATAATAAAAAAAATAATGAGATTTAAAATAAACATTTTTTATTTACTACAATCAGAAGTATCTAATTTGGCATTGACAATCGTCTCAAACCGAGCTTAAATATAGAATAATTAATTTGTTTTTCTATTTTTAAAAAATTTTTATCGATTTATTTGAATAAGATCATTAAATTTTTCTGCAATTTTTCATTATCTTGCTTCTATTTCTCGATTTCTGCGTTGTTATCATAATTATGATTATGGACGATCGCTAGCTTTATTCTAATTCACGAATCCTATTTCTTTGTTCATGAACCGTATGTATTAACTGATTGACTCTTGAATTATCAATTTTTACACGATGATTTGATTATGACACGCTCTCTGCAATTAATTTAGCTGTTTTCTGTCTCGTCATAAGTACTGTAATTTAGATAGTCAGTTTATTTTTTAAATTAAAATTTCTAGTCCGTTTGGTTTGTGTACCGTTTATGTAGTTGAGACGTAAACAAGTCGCGTAAATATGCAACTCAGCTAATACACCGCATCAGAGTATAAGTTTTGACTTTCGCTTATATTTACTTAAATACCTTTTAAACCGAAAGAAAGGTATCAAAGCAATTTTTAATTCATTCGCTATTTTCTGAATAGCCTTATGTGATTCGAAATTTATACTGTAAGCCGCGACAACTAAGAAAATAATGTCCAAAATTTCCACTTACTATCTTATACTAACAATCATTTTTCAAATATCACTATTTCAGGTTTCTATTCCGGCACCAGTTTGTGTTCTTTTAGGTAGGTCGGAGTTCTTCGGACTCGACATTTATAACTAGCTCTATCGTAAAAAGAAAGGATATTCGAGAAAAGGCTCGGTTGTGCGAATGAACCTTGTCGATACGCCGTGGGATCACTTATCTTGAATTTTGGGTATAGGAAATTATTTAGTTTTTTTTGGCCAGTTCGCTTTAACGGTCAGGGAAGAGCGGCGGAGCACCAATTTTCCTACATGACTTTACTTTGACCACAAGACAGGTTTTGGAATTATACGCGAAGTTCCTCATTTAGACGAGTATTGCTAGTGGAGACGTACAAGAAGGATGACCAGAATAAGAGTGTACGGCCAAGCTTACTTGCTCTTATATACATTCTCAATATGTGATATATATATTATATTGAGATTATTATATATAATATATTGAGAATGTATATCTTATACAGGGTGTCCCATTTTAAAGGAACCACCCCTAAATTTTCTACAAAAAAAATTGTTCAGACGAAAGTTGTTTGGGACAATGAGGGACACCTTTCCCAGAAATCGGATTAGACCTTGAGATTTATTTTCAAGGTCATTTGAAGGTCAAAGTCATTTTTTGAATAGCAACTTATATTTTTGATTCCGGATTCGGAAAGAGCGAGAAATTCTACGTTTAGATAAGGTATTATGTGTGGTGTGCGGTTAACTCCCCCCTCTCTCCCACTCCCCGCGCAAGGTTATGTAGGGGTCAAATATATTATTTTCTTCATCTATGCACAGGAATGATCGGGCAAGGGTAAGATTAATTGTAATAACCCAATAACTTGCTGGTAATATCTTGCCCCCCTCCAACCCAATAACTAGA